CACAAATTAAAAAAAGATAACAAAACTTTTTGGAAAATAATCTTAGAGTTATTGAATGTTCCACCCATTGATACAAAGAGGACACATGTGTTACACAAGTTTTCCAATTGAATGCTTTATATGTTGAGTTTTGATTGACCCTAAAAGAATAAAAAAATTAATCTAAAATTCAACTTTATGAAAATAAATATTTTTATGACATTAAGAATGCTTAAGAAAAACTAATGGGCCATTTTAAACGTAGGATTCCAGAATATGACATCAATTAAACTTATGTGAACTGATTGTCATGATACTTAATATCTTCCTCTTTATAGTATTATCTAGGAGACGAATTTTCTACATATAAAGGTGGATTGGTGATGTCGTCATATTGAAGACATTGAAAATTTATATTACTAAAATGTTATATTTAAGATACGTAAATAACAAAGTATCCTCTACAACTTTAATGTCTTCTTTTATTTTGCGTTGGCTTTTGGCATTTTGTTACCTGCTGGCATATTTAAGTCAATCTTGATTTATTTGTTGTTATTTCAATTTCGTAGTTTTTTTTTGTTACGTTTAAACTAATAGTAACTCATTTAACGATATTTTTCTGTTGTTTGTCAGTGAGGTTTCTCCTAAGATCCTTTTCGTAACAACATGTTCTTATTAGCTGTTTATTCCCTTACTACTGGTACCATAATCGCACTAGAATTTACAAATGGTGATGGGTTTTATCTAGCCAAGGTTTGTGAACTGCACATAACCTCTTGCCGTTGTTCATTTAAATATTTGTCACACTTTTTCAATAGTATTTATTGATTAATCATAAATACAGATTTAACCTAAACATGCTCAACTCAGGTATGAATCGTGCTATACATGTGGTTAGGTTACATAATTCTCCAATTATTCTTCCAGTCGAAATATTAAGTACTTAGGCTATCGCAAAAGGGATGTCGCATATATACATCTAACAGATAAGCAGTATCCGATCCGAATATTATTTATCTCTTTAACTGTGCTAAAGAGTTACAGGATAGCACCTTACATTAACATCCAAACATAAAACATCCAAGACAATATTAATTTTGATGGTTGATTATAATCAATAATTGAACTCAGTTTCATTGAAATTTGTTTTTGTTTCAGTGGTATTCGTAATTTTTTCCCCACGTTATGAAACAATTTTTTTTTTCACAAAATTATAATTACTCAAGCCAATACATGCATTGCATACAATGCATACAATGTATGCGATGCTTTGAATACAGATATACGATGTTTAATTGGTATGAACACACTACACTCGCTCAATCAACTTCACGTGATCTTTGTGAGTTAACTTTCCGAGTTTGTAGGTTTGTTTGGAATCATTCGATTGAATAACCCTTCAAAGCTAAAACACTTCTATACACTGAATGTTGCTTCATATCCTTTCAATTTATCATTGATAACGTTACACTTGAAAAGGAAAAAATAAGTAAAGGATTATGACTCATCAAGCTATCAATGTATCTATTAGCTTTTGACTGTTTGTTAGTATTATATATGTTTGTTTTTTCGAAGAATTCTTTGTAGTTGATTCGTAAGTTGTTTGAACCTCCTACAAACCAACTTATTATTCGTTTTAGTATTAAAAAGTGAATAGTTTTTTTTCATATAATCAGGTAAAACCTTTTTAGTTTTGTTGCTAGTCGACTTTTTAAAGAAAATACTTCAACGTAACCTCTGGGTCGAGATCTTTAAAACCAAACTCAAAAACGCATTTTTGTCCCAAATACTCCCATTCTCTACATTAAGACGTTATTTATCAATAATTTGTTTTGCTAAAAACTTCGGCAATCTTTTGGTTGGCAAAGTTAAACATCTCAAAATATAGGTAATAATTAACTTTGGAGTGTAAAAATAAATGTTTTTGAAGTATGTTTTCAGGTATAACACATATTTTGGCGTGTTATAAGACAATGCAAATAATATTTTTTTTAAAAAGGTTTTTACTGGTTCTATTATTTCACTTTTCTATGTTTCTGTGCTCCATAACAGATTGTAGATCGCACGACAGCCTCCAAACACGATATTTAGGATATTATTGGCAATCGGGTGCTTGAAAATTTAACCTTTAAATACTTATACTGATTTACCACCTTGATAATGTTTTCCTTATACCTCCACTTATCACCTGCCTTTAATCTTCCACACTTTCTGAACACCATTATCTTTGATTCAGTTAGATTCCAAGTGTCACAGTAGTTTTCAAATTTTTTAAAATCATATACTGCAGCCCAGTGTTCATTGGGGAAAGGAGAATAATTTTATCTGCATAAAGTAGCACATTTATTTTAACTCCGAAAATCTACGTTTCTACTTAAACAAAGTTAAACTGTCTCCCATTTAAACATGTATCAAATCGTTAATTAATCATAGCTGCATTCCAAACCAAAGTTTTATGACTGAAATATACAAAGTTTACAACAAATGGCAAGCAAACATTTATAGACTAGTTAAATTAACTCAAAAATTAAAAAGCGAATGCAAGAATACCATGCAAAATCTTTATTTAAATTCTTCAAAATGTATAAAATCTATTACATAATTAAGGCAGAAGAGTAGGCCTACTATTATTTTATGATTTAACATTAGCATCAATGTGTATATGAAATTATTCCATAATATTATTTTGTTAAGACTAATAATTATAGGTTACAAGACCTTAGAACTCCAGCCAGAAATTGTTTTACGTCATTGTACATTGAAACTATCATTGTTTATAATTTATATGTGTAGAGTCAACAGTATAAAAACATTCCATACAACCATGCATTCAACGGAAAGTTTACATCAGCAAAGCGAGATCAGATCAGAAATGTGACAGTACTAATGACTATATAGAGACCAGCGGTGAACTAATGTAAAACTCATGAGAGAGTTTTGTCATGCCTGGACTAGGAGAGTTCCTAAATCAGGATTTAAAAGTTTGCTAAATGTTGCTGAATGAGTATCACAAATCTTTTGGATAACAAGTTCGAACGATACAATATTTGCCAAATAATATTGACCGTAATTATATAGCAAATGAGATAGGGAACTATAACAGGTTTTAGATGTTTCCCTAGGCGATGCAAACGACAACAATATAACAACAAATTAATAAAAAATAAGTTTTGTTTTACTTAATGTTCCTTTTCCTAGACGGTATGTGTCGAATGCACATTGAGAGACTACGTGTTCAATAACTAGAACGTGACGAAGAAGTTAAGCCATGTAGTTACTGCTTCCGTCTTAATTGAACCACTAATAATACCTATTAGTCTTCAACAGAGTTCTGTTGTTGGTTGGATAATGAAATCAGGCAGTAGTACCGTACATATATAAGTAGTATTAAGTCTACTTAAATGAATATCATGTTCAAACAAAATACAGGGGTTTCATAAAATAACGGTGGGGTTTTAATTGTATGTAAAACTATTATAAGACGAATTAAATATTTAATATTGATACCCCTGCATCCAGTTGCTCAAACTTATTTGTTTACATTAGTTTAAACACCTGTGTTGATTGTTGTGATACTCGACAACCTACGTATTCTGCTTCAAGTTGTATTTATTATAAACATGTTTTCCACCAAGAAAGGCTAAGTGTGAAACTAAGGGAACTAAAGCCAATGACTCTAGTATAACGGCCATTTAGGATGTCAAAAATATAGTTTATTAAAAGAAAAACTAGAAATTTAGCCTATCCACTAGAATGAACCAGAGATGCAGTCTCCTTTGTAACAAGAAAAATAATGCACGTGTGGTCTGAAATAGATCATAATCTAAACGTCTGTAGAGCAAGAAATGGTTGTGATTTTGAAGATTATCAGCTATGTACAAAATCTTTTTGATGTCAGTAATTCAACAAAAAAAAAAGGTTTTTTGTATCTTTTCTCGTTTCCTTTTATTTCATAACCCCACCATTATGTTATGAAAGACCTGTTTAAATTCTATTGATAAACTAAGAAAACTAGAAATGGTTTAATGAACATATTAAATGAAAACAATTTATTTAGTATGTTCCAAGAATATATGTAAACCATTGTTTCTCTTAACCTGTCAAATTATGTCATTGATTTCTTCTTCAATAATAGTTCATGCAGTTCATTCATAGCCAATCCATTTTTGTGGTTAAAATATGGATCGAGCTTTACTATTTTTTCTCAGAGTTTAAAAATGTAATAAAATTGTGGCTTACTTTTATTAAAAGTGTAGCATGTACAATAGGAGTGGTTTAATTTAATTAGGAGGGAATGAACATTAAATGGGTTTACTCTTGAAAACTGCTTTTGAAAACGGAAAGAGGAAGTTAAAGAGTGGCGCCGTTTCCGTTTCAAACCGGAAGAAGCCTGGCTGCACGTACCATATTCAACCCTGTCAGGAACTTGTTGGGCTCAGATGTGATGTTAGGGTAGTAAAATATTGTTTGTGCGACCGTTTAAAAATTACGTTTATAACTCGACAATTTACATAACTACAGCAGTAAAAAAATCATTGCATACAAATATTACATTTAAAAGTGTGTATAATTTATACATTATATTCTGCAAATTAAAGTTTAAAACTACCTCTTAAAACATAATCTAAAACACTGTTGAATAAAACCGTGGTTATACAATGTACTATTTTGAACACATACTTGTTAATTATCAATATTAAATTAATTGATACGAAATTATAAGTATGACATTAACTAAAAAGATTGATGGCCGATATCATTTTTGTAAGAAATAAGTTTTGTTTGTAAATACGAGTTTACGATGTACAGTTTTAACAAGTCACACACTGAAAAGATTTGTGTTAACTCATTTGAAAGCAGATTCGACGACTTTGAGCCCAAACTGAGAATACAGTATGACACGTGTATACAGGTGTCTGATGCAAGATAGCTCAAAGATGACAATAACAGACAGCCAACAGACGGAGTTAGAAGACACAGTTTAAGGTAAGAAGCTTTTGTTTTGCCTTTGTGGCAACATTTACGGTAAACTATTGTTATATACAGTCAACAATTAAGTTACGTATTTTCACTGAAAGGAATTATACTTTTATAGATGACCTACTAAGACCAATTTCGGAGGACGGTCTCCAATAACCCATATAATATTTAAACTCTAATCACGCCTAAATATTCTCATTTTCTACCAGCATTCTGTAAATACTTGTATGTATTTATGCATTTTTATGTAGTTATGTACATAATTATATATAAGGTATTGTTTCAACAAAAATGTAAACTAATACACACATACAAATTTTAATTGTTTAAATATGAAAATATATTCGTTCAAAAGAACTAAAATGCAAAAATTAAATATAGATTTGTAAATTGATACATGCTATAAAGGGATTAATGCAATGCACACTCATACTAAACCCAATGTAATAATTTACAGAGCGAGGGTAAGGTCTACAAATGTTTCGTAATCTCACTGTGCTTAAACTTGTATGAACGATTGAAATTCGATTTGTCTGCAGGTTTGTTAGTGCGGGGGTTATATTGCCTCCCTATAAGAGTCCTCTGTTTTTCAGAATCAATGCTACATAAGTTCAGCGCTATGTCCATTATCATATCGCTGGTTTCCGTATGGACCCTCCTGGCTGTGACGTCAGCCAACCTCTACAATCTGGGACTCTGTAGGCCTTACATCACCAAACGGACCTTCAAACAACCGGTCACGTTACATCAGTTAAGTATAAAATTTTAAAACTGGTTTTTACATGGTATTAAAACGTGTTTTAATGAAATTAAATGAAAAATGCTTTATTTGACCAGGCAAAGTTAGGGCCACATAGCCCTCTCTTACACTTAACCTGACAAACTTAAATATAAATAAATAAAAATACAATGTAATTTCTTAATCTAATATAAATATTAATGTTTTAATGATGTTTTAATTTGTTATATGAAACCATCATTTCTGGGTATGATATGTACACGTTATGAAGAAAGGAAATTAAATATTGGAATGGTGTACACATTATTAATTTCATAACAACAACAAACATCAAACACTACCTGAAATATTTGCAAAAGCAACGAAAAGTCTGGCTTTATACAACTGACAAATTAATTCTATGATAAGAACTTTCAAAAGACAAATGAGAAAATGCTTAATCCTCAATAGTGAGGAAATTATAAGGTGTGCTGTTACAGCTGGTTTCAATTATACATGATTTTTTACCATCGCGTTTTTAACCTACAGTTATCTCTTGACGGGGAGTTCACAGTATTGTATACATCAGGTCTGAAACAGCTTCAAGAAGTATCTTGCGCCACGTTCCAGTACACTTACAACACGGCTGATACATATACATACCGATCCTATGTCAAGGCTGATGGGTTAGTTTACTCTTAATAAACTAACACTTAAATTACTTGTTTGGTTGGATATCGTACTTTCATTACTGTAAAGGTCTGTGTTTACAGTTTGAACAACAAATACCGACTTGTAAAATAAATGTTTGTTTGAAATTTTTTTAACACATAAATTCTATATTTATTGCTCAAAATAAAATATAGTTTAGGGACCACTTTAAATACTTCTTTAGTGGTTCTTTAGTGGTGTTATGTTTAAATGTTAAGGCCACCAATTTTAAATCCTACGTCGAAGACCTCCTGATCACTTGCACGTTGCTTTATGATTATTTTGTAAATGTTAGACTTTTAGTTTAATATTGTCTGAGTCATATTTGTGGAAGGAACCCATAATGTTAAATTAGTTTACTCCTTAAATATAGTTTATTTACCATTAAATTATTCACTTTACTATTTCAATAAGGTTTGGATTTCTGTCTGTATAACAATATGTTGAATAGCTTTCGCAACTTAAGATATTATGATTAGCTTTCCTATGGTTAAATTTACAGTATAGTTGGCAATGATAGTCACAACAGACATGTTTATCTTCAGTTTCTAAAGCTATTTTAAAATGTGTTGTATTTCATTTCAAGAAAAGAAGAAGTCTTGGCTTGCGAGGCCCATGAATTAGCCCCTGGGGCATTTTTAGTAACACCTAAAGACAACGGTAAGCTATAAACTTAAGCTTTTGTAATAGAATCACGTTAAGAATATCATGTAATTTTATTCCAACACAAATGTAAAACTCGTATGAGAAAACGCTGAAGTAAACACAGATGAAGGCTTTATAACAAGCAAAGGTGGTCTGTTCATTCGCTAGATATGTTGTTTAATGGGTTGAAACAGATTGCTTTTGCTCTAGAATAAGTTTCTTTTTGCATAATAGGTTTCATCTGCTGTATTTTCAAATGTAATTTGTAGGTCTTTCTTAAACAATGGATGTATTCTAAAGCATTCAAACTTGACTTGAGTGTTAACGAAAAAAAAATCAATTCGTATATAGAAAAAAGCAGGTCCTGTATTGTTTAAGGTTTGATATGACGAATTGGACAAATACATAGATATAAAGGACTACCTAAAATGTCCAAAAGCCAAATATAACCATTACATTGGTTTATATCATGATAACGAGGCTATATAATCATAGAAGTATGTGATGACAAGAAAACTAGTTCAAATCTTTTAACATCAAGGAAACCTACCAACGTTTTTAATTCTTCAAAAAAGTAAAAAACATCGTAACCGGTACTTAAAAATATATTTTTTAAAACTTTTTTCTTTGTGAAAAATATCTTAAAATCGTATTGACAGAATTAAGTTGAAGCATCTTCAATTAACCTAAGGCGGCTAAATTTGTATAGTATTGGAGTAAGTTCTTATCCCATCAAAAGCCGGTTAAACGCAGCGCAATTATATTTTCCCAGATGAGTAAACATTATAACATTAACCACCTGTAAAATAATTTCACTGTTCCAGAATACTCTACTCAATTTGTCAAGTACCATAGCGAAGATATTCTTCTCATTTATTGGTGCAAAGATGACAGTAAGTATGCATAAACATTATTCAATCATAAAGATTTTATCTAACTGATTGAATATTTGACCAACGGTACGTCGTGGCATAAAATTTAGAAGCTACAAAACTGTATTCATAGCCTAGCATATGGAGAAATTATTTAAATAATAATTTTGCCATTTAAGCCATACAAGAGTAAAAAAAAAATTAAATTTGTTATTTGATCAATAAAAACAGGACATATAATTGGGGAAACACTAATACTTTTGCATAGTGGTCTATGGCAAAAAGTTTCTTTTTAATAAACTTAAATAATTTGTTCTTACAATCAAATTAACCAACAAATGTCATAGCAATAAATGTAACAATCCTTAACAAAATGTCTACATTAGTTCTACAACGGTAGTGATATACAGTAATTACCTACCCCATATTTTATCAAGGTTGAATCCTGCTTGTATAATAAAAACTACCGTACACATATTGTCCAAACATAAGAAAAACTTCTGTGTTTGTTTAGCAGTATTATTTATGGTCATAAAAATGTTTAGAATTTCATACTACAAATTTATGTACTTATACTTAACTTATATTTATCTTGGTGCTACTGTTTTAATAATTATTTAAGTGTTAAATGAAAAAGAATACTGTAATGCACACGTAACATCCGTAATTATTGCCACTTATCTTTAAAACTATTTTTTAATTGACAAAATCTAATTTATTGCTTTAGGTCTATTTAAAGTATGTTTAAAAAGAAAATTATTTTAGTGTAACGAATTAAACTACCATATTCAACAATTTCAGGTGATGACAACTATTATAACAACATTTGGATGATAGCTGCAAAAACAGCACTGGCTAACACGAAGAAAGTAAAAAAAGAAATCTTGGACATGCTTTACCATGATGATTATAAGGGATTCATAGACAGAGACTTGGAAGATTTGAGAAATGAACGTAAGAAGTATGTCGAGCTAACAACTTGCAATTGAAATAAATGTTAACAGGTCTGATCATCTTGATTACAAACCCTAAATATGTTTCCTAAATAAGTCCTAAATGGCAATGAATTGTGAAACAGCCGTTAACAAACATAACAACCATGTTAGCTAATTACTTAGTACAATTACTAAATATAATCTAATTAGGCTAATTTTCATTGTCAAACAATTTAGACACAATTTTATCTTTGACGTATATATTTTTGGTAAGTTTTTCACGTAAAAACCATTGTTAACAAGCAGCTACAGGGATTCCAAACCATAGATGAAGTAATATAATAAAATGTTTCAAGTCCTAAATGGCAATGAATTGTGAAACAGCCGTTAACAAACATAACAACCATGGTAGCTAATTACTTAGCTAATTACTAAATATAATCAACTGCAGGCTAATTTTTACTGTCAAACAATTTAGACACACTTTTATCTTTGACGTATAGGTTGTTGGCAAGTTCTTCACGTAAAAACCATTGTTAACAAGCAGCTACGGGGATTCCAAACGAAGCAAGTCAAAGGAAGAGCGAGGAATTAAGAGAGTTCCCTTAAGGCTTGAGGCTCCACAACCGTCTTTCCTCGAGAGACACTCCTCATAAGTTTACTTCACCTTGGTTAAAAACCTTCTTAAATAACTCCCTTCATTACATTACCTGTGTGAGACAAATGCTGTCTTTGGAATAAGTAAATACGAGAGGTCGTCCAGTGGTCGAAACTCGACCAAAAATATGTAATGTAAACTTACTCAATTCTCTATTTTCACCCCACACTGTAAATAAAACATGTGATTGGAGGTTCTTCCATTTGTTTTGATTTTCTGTTTAAATTTCGTTGTTATTTCGTCACCAGCATGGCAACGCATAAGATCCATGTTAATTTTTGCAAATTTTTAAACTCATTTTTTGTGCTTATCTTTGAGCCTATTTAAATTTTTAAAGGGATTCTGCACACCTACAGGAAAATAGCTTTCTAACGGTATGCGTAGATTTACCCCACGATGCACACAAGCTGAGAAAAAAGTTTACTGAAAAGTATTTGCATAAATGTTTAGTTTTTTATTTGAATTCATCAAACTCGTCCAATCAAATAACTGTCTGTATTTACTCTGAATTTATCTGTATTTATCTGAATTTACTGTCTGTACTTTATCACTCAAGCAATAACCAAACTGATTTTAAAGCTTAATTGAAAGTATCTTTTCGGATATCTTCTATCTTTTTTTAAGTGCTGAAGTGCCTCCCTACTACTTGTTCACAATACACTTTACGGCATCCTTCAAAGTTTCTACTATAAAATACTAACGAATACACTCTTTTTATATTTCCCCTTAATGTTCGTTATGCCTATATATAGTATAAATGATTCCCTATTCATCAAATAACATTTTCTATTAATACAATAATATGTTTTTTTTTACTACACCAGAAGAAATATCACTACAGTCTAAGGTTATTTAGAAAGCGTTTTTTACATTACATTGTACAATCGATATTCTTTTTATTCAATTCAAGTAATTTATATCTCGATAATAAAGAAAGAAGAATATGTCTTGGGAAGAATATGTCGCACACTACTGGGTTTTTCCCGGTCGGAAACTCTGCCAACCTTATATCACGTGTATTTCCTTTCTAATTGACTCTAGCCTCAGTAAGTTATCACTGTTTTCACGTCAAAAATATTTATTAGTTTTTTTTATTTGCCACAAATATAGATGATAGATTATAAAGAAATGTAATTGGCAGTGAAATGTATTGGATTGTTTAAACTGAATCATTGGTAGTACTATATTGTCGTTAAAGCCTCTATACAACTTCATTTAATTGTTACTTGCAACGAACTAGTAGTATTTGTGTTACCTTCATAAAAAGATTAAATAACCACTTAAGTTTAAAAGAGAAAGATAAACATAATCTTGAAAATTGATTTTGAAACAATAATAGCAATCAAAAATATTTACAATACAGTATTAGGGTTTAATTGATAGTGATTGTTTCAATTTAAGTGGATGATAAAGAACTAGGTTTAAATACAAAATGTTAGCATTAAAAATATAAACTATTTTTAGTATCACGGGTATAAAACTAGGAGAAGTTTACAAAATGTCCTACACTAAACAATAAAATTAAAACATTCACTAAAGTCCTTTTATATCGTAATTGAAATGTTCTTTAATCAGAAGTTAAAATAGACATTTAATCGGTTTAATTGGTTTTGAGCTTCCAAACTACATTTCCAAACCAATATTATCTCTTTGAATCCTTGATGAAACTATTGAATAGCTTTCGGTGAATAGATTAACGCATAGATAGATAGTTTTGTCTCTATTGCAGATGAAGTCCAATTGAGTGTAAAATGTTGCACTTCGTATCACTACCAAAGCCGTTGCAACAACTGAGCTACGTCAAACCGCATACAAATTATAACTGAATTATTATCACCCACAGATCACTGTAAATATTCACAAAAAAATTTGAAAATATGGTTGAATTGTAATATCTATCTTAAAGAAACATGTTAAGTTATGTTTGGCTACTCAGTTATGGAGCTTTATTTATTATAAAGCCATTGACTATTGGATCCTAATCAAAGGTACCTTATGTAATTAAGGTAACCTTACGCAATTAGGGTTCAATTTATAAAAACTGTTATAATTTTGTAACACGAACAGAATTAGGACCAGGACCGCGATTGTCAAAAAAACTGATAATTGTAAATCCATAAAAGAAAATATTTTTTGTCCTAGAAGGCTAGGTACGAGCCTTCTTTAATTTGAACTAACGAAACTTAATGGGCTAAATAACTATAATAACTAAATTGGTATACAAAAGTAAAACTGTTGTAGTAGGCCATCATGAAAATTGCTAAATTGTATTTCTTTGTGCCATTAGTTCAGTATCTTTATGTGGAGATCTTATAGATCATGATTATAGAGAAAAATAACCTAGAAACTACTAGTAAATATGTGGTTAAATATGATCTGATGCTCCTGTCAAATTTTAGTATTAACCATTCTACAGGTAATATATTTTGTCATTAAATAGGTACCAAGCTTGTTTAGGAAAACAGGAGTGGATTTAGTAGTAAATTAAGTTCAGAGGTGTTTTGAGAACGGAAATGAGACAACGCTGTGTGTGGAGTTCAAAGCTTAAGCTGTATTAGATATCTCCACTGTTTTACCAGGACGCAACATGAGGTGAATAGATATAAACGGTTAACTTAACTGAATGGAAATGTAAATGAATATAGTAATACGCTTGAAACATTTCATAATAAATGCAAGCATTCATAACAACTTTGTCTTTATTTGTTTAACATAAGGATTTAAGGAGAAAGAGTGTAAAATTGCATGTTTATCAGAATAATTTCTTATAGCACAATATGACTAGTAACAAAGTACATAGCAAAAATTATTCAACACAATGTCTTTGTGCATGATTTATGTTTATAATTTTAAACAATCCTCATAAAATATAATTATGAGTGTTCCATGGTTGTAAATATTTGTTATTTTTGTTTTCTAGTTTGTATGGTATGATTAGCAAGAACTACAATTATAAAATTTTTTTTACTATGTAATATTTCGCGTTCTTATAGTTTGAATCTTCTAACAAGGATTCAAAATAAATAGCCTGAAATAGGTTAAATTGTTACTGGGGTTTTTGATTTTGAAATATATCTAAATTTCAAAAATGTGAAACTTAATTTGTGCATTACCTAAATTAAGGTAGAACAGATTTTTTACAAAATAAACAGTGTCTGCTTAGTGCTGCTGATGAAATGAGGTAATTACTAGTCTGATTTAGTTGTTATAATCCCTCTTTGCATGAAGCTAACAAATTGCATTTCAATAGCTCATAACTGCAACACATTTGCAACCCACTACTCGTACGGACACTGAATTGAAAATGATTTGACTTAAAATACAATGGTGGTCAATATTTTCAACTGATAATACAGGGCATTCAAACATGGCATTGGGACATAGTTTACGTAGTGATTCATTTAATAAAAATATGAAGAAAATCTAGGACAACACGTTTCCTAAAATCCCTTGGTTAACCTGAAATCCGCAATTTTCAATTTAATTTATTTATATATTTTTGCTTACAAAGGTGTATTTTTTTTTCCAACCGATCTTTATTAATTTGGGATGAATGTTGAGGTAGAAGAGATGAATGTTACATTAAAAAGTTACCTGAACCGAATTCAAATAAAAAATGGTATTTTCTTTTTTATGAGTAGGTAGAAAAAACTACGACGAAGGTAAAGCCTATTTTTAGAAAAAACTACCTTATGCTAGTAAGGTTTTATTTATGGATTTTCATTACATTCTAACAATTTAAAAATTGAACAAATCTGTTCATAAATAAAGGAAAAAAAGTCATTTTTGATACTGTACATCAATCGACTAACATCCACGGCCATCGGGTAACATCACTCTATAAATAATCTTCTGTTTCAATTTTTAATTTTCCATTGAAGAAAAAAAATTTTACCACGGTATACTTAACATTAGTTTCCTCCCTTGGTTAAAGTTCGATGTTCTTGAAATCGATATCGTTAGAATTGAAATAAAACTGTCTAGATAAAACATTGTCATGATAGTTTCTTAACCTATTAAGTATTAATGTCATACAACTGTAAAGATTTAAACTGCCGCTAGTTAAGGTTCATGTTTCAGCTATATTTCTGCATAAAAAAACATTAAAAAACTGTTTTATGAAAAAAACTGAATCGCGGCATTACTGGTAACTTATGAGTTTAAACAATTTTTATCGTCATGATTTAGGTTGTCTGATCCTGAAGTGGTAGAGTTGTTAGAGAGTTGTTAGAGAGTTTAGGTACGCCCTTTATAATAATGTTAAATTTCCAATTTAATGAAGTAAAATAATGTAAAGAATCACACTGTAGAAACATAATAATAATCTTGGCCGTTCGGTCAGGACCCTTAGAAACTACAAATTTATTATTTTTTTATATGGAATTTTAAACATAAATTGAAACGAATTATTATC